GCGGAGCCGCGCGCAGCTTGATGGCGTCACGGGCGCCCTGCCTCCGCCCGCATTGGGCGGGGAGAGCGCGGTGGGCGGGGAGGTGGGCGGGGCCATTATGCAAAAGGCTTCGTTTTGTTCCAAAAAGTGAGAATTTCGAGACGGGAAAGGTTTCGGTGGAGGGCGCAGGCAGCAAGAACCCTGCCCGTGCCCCCCAGGATCGGTGCTGCTCGCTGGAACCTGTGTGAGACACAGCCAGCAACCCTGCACGGGCAGGGAAACGCCGGAGAGGAGAAGGGAGCGATCCCCAACAGCAGGATCCACGTCCCGGCATGAAAATATTGTAGAAAAAGTGGTTTATCCCCTCAGAGAAAGCCTGGAGCTCCTGGCTGTCCTTTAAACACCCTCTCTGCAACGCGCAGGCTGTGGCAGATCCCTGACGGGGCTATCCCAAACCTGGCAACACGGGACAGCAAATACAGCACCTCAGGCCTCGCCAGCGGTTTTTCTTTCTAGCTCTGGAAAATCGTCAAGGTTTTTTCTCCCTCTTCCAAAACACCCCATCTCCGGTGACTCGCTCCCAGCCTTAGGTAAAGACCCGAAGGAATCGAAAGCGATGAGCCACGAGTCATGTTGCTGTGAGCAATATCTTTACACGATACTTGACAGAGAGGACAGCACTCGGTAAATAACATCTTTCAGCCCATTCCCGTTACAGAACGGCAATTCCCCAGGGAGAATTTAATTTTCCCCATTTAAAAAAATAATTGGAGATCTCCCACAGCAGGTTGCTTATGCAAGGCATAAGACAGTTGTTCTGCTACTTTTAACTGCTCTTTCACAAGAGGGAGCGCCTCAGCTGAAGCAGCCCCTCTGCGGGTGCACCCATCCCATCCAACCCCCCAACAGGCTTGGGGACCACAGAGCATTTGGCTGACCGAAATCCTGGCGTGCTCTCACCACCACCTGGCTGCTCCCGCCACCGGGGCTCCCCCAGCCACTGCTCCTAGGTCCCACCGGTACGATCTATCCAGGAATCCCACGGCTTCTTTCTTAGGAACAATCTAAAAATTAAAATAAACCCCATGCCATTTTGTAATAACATTAAGTAAAAGTGATTTGGGTGCAGCCCCACCAGCTTGCTCGATGCCCAGCTCCGCAGGCAGGGCGCATCACGAAGTGGAGGTGGCGGCAGTAAGAAAAGTCCTTTTCTTTTTCCTGAGAGAGAGGACTATCAAGGGGCTAGTGGCAAGCAGAAGCTGCAAATACAACAGGCTTTGATTTCTAACTTCGATTTACAAAAATCTCCTGTTACGAACAGTCTGGCCTCGCCAGAGCGTGGTGCCACCCTGCAGGTGTCCGCAGCAGAGGTGTTCGCCCGTCGGTGGTGGTGGCAGGGCTGAGACAGGGAAGTTGGGGGGTCCTCACCGACGCTGCTACTGCTTGGGCATGGTGAAGTCCCACGCCGTCTCCTGGGCGCATTTCCACATTGCCCGCATCAGTCGCGTGAAGCCCATGTCCTTGGGCTTCTCCAAGCCTCTCATAAGGCGCTGCTTCATTATGGCAACAAACTCCTTGTTGCTCAGCTCACCATTCCCTGCGAGAAGGAAAAAAAAATAAATTAGAAACACTAAACCTCAGCAATAACCTCCTCCCCGCATGCACTAACTTTAAAGGGCAGCAGCCACAAGTGTCATTTCTTGCAGAGACTGAAATCACATTTGGCTTCAAACCTCCCAAAATATCCTGCTGAGCAAGGGCTGCCGAACCACAGCATTTAAATCCGAACCCCACGGGCCCTCGCCCTGCTTAGCCTGGCACCACCACGTCTTGCAGGGCCTGGAGCGCTGGGGCTTGAAGACAGAAAAGCAAATGCAAAGTAAATGCCCATGCACCCGCAAGAAACTCTCTGCTTTAAGTGATTTAGGAATCTACAGGAGCACAGGGTAACAGAGCACAGATTTTTCTTAATGGAGCAGAAGAGAAGATTCATTAAAGTAATCTAGTTAGGTTATTGAGAATTATATCAACTAAATTTATGTTAAAAATAAGATTATAGTAAATTGGGGCAAATTTTATTCCCTAGTTGCTTAACCACCAAGAAATTAAAATGTCTGGTTTGTTTTTTTTTTTTTATTTAGGGTGCTGGTTGATCGGAGGGGACAGCAGCAAGCCATGGCGTGACTGACAGCCTGACACTTGTCTGCTGAGGGGCTGATGTGCTGATGCCTCCTGCCATGACACTGCACGTATCCCATTGCCTGTTTTGCTCCCCTGCCTATGGCGCACAGCTGATTTTAGCTTTTGGGGAGCAGCACAGGAAAGCAACTCACCTTTGGGCACAGAAGACATACCAGTGACATCAGCCCTCAAGAAACAAACCCGCCAGTGCCATCGGTTCCCCAGGTCAAAGGGGAGAGAATCTCTCTGGCTGGTACGGGGAACCACATCGTTATACTTCATGAATGAGTTACTTCGTTTGAGACCTTTTTTTCCTGCCTTACATCTGAATGCAAATCTGGGCAGCAAAATTCCAGCAAACTATCAAGGGATGAGTAAAATTCCCTCTGGTGCTGCAGGTTTTTGATGCGTGCATGGTAATGTCTATAAACACTGACAGAGTGAAAACACACACATAAAAAAAGAATAAAATAAAAGGTCTGCACCTGCTTTTCCACTTGATTCTTTCCTTACAGGTACTCCTCTAGCAACCAGTCTTTCCCCCCAAAGGTTTGCTATCAAAATATTTAGCAGATTCTCCTATGAGAGGATGCAAACGGAGAATATTTGGCTACGCTTTGGTTCACTCTAATCTCCAGCCTGATCATTTGGCTTCAAGATCGTATCAGAAAGTGGCACTGAAGCACAGAGAAAAATAAAACGAGATGCAACCTTAGAAAGGTGCAAAGAAGCAGGTGGGGCTGAAACTAAGAGGGACAACAAGGAATAAAATAATTAAAGATTTTTTTAAATGTTCGTATTTGTATCAGAAAGCAAGCAACTATTTATACATCACTGCTGCTGCTCAGAGCTGCCAGATCCCGGTGACTGTGCTGGAAAAGCAGGGCACCAGCAGGGTCTCTCATTCTGGCTTCACAGTTTTGGGCAAATGCAAAATTTTGCTACTTTTCAAGTCTGAATTGCTGCCATCATCCCCTGGTGGCAAAGACTCCACTAATTCTCATTAAACCAACCCAAAACTGCTTCAGCGTGGCAACAAGCTACCCCAAAGCACTCGCATCCTCTGGGGGCCAGCAAAGCAACAAGCTTCGCAGCAGGGGACAGAGCTGCCATTAATTAATTAAGCCGATATTTGTCCAGGACTTTGGAGATAACGAAGTACCAGATAGGCTCGTTTCCAACACTGGAGCACAACAGCTCATTTTGTTGAACAAAACAGAGTTTAGGGGAGGGCGGAGGGAAGCAGCAGTGTAACAAGCTGTGCATGCCAAACGCTTCGATCCAGTGCTTTAAGATCAACATCTTGGAAGCTGGGTACCATCAGGTACCCTTCCTAGAAGGGCAGGAGCATCAGTGCAGATCTAAAACCAAAGAGCGGACGGTAGCACGGCAAGAAGAGCCAAGGTCATGGCAAGCTTTCACAGCTGGCATTTCTTCCCCCCTGTATTTCTTCCCCCAGACGGATTTTTGCCCAGCCTGGCCGAGAAGAATGGGGCGAGGCTGGGGTCACTCACCGTCGCAGTCGAAGAGCGCGAACACCACATCGCACACGTGGTCGGAGAGCTCCACCTTGGCCACTGTCCTGGCCACTTGCTGCATCGTCACTGTAACAGAGGGAGGGCACAAGGTTAGCGAGATGTCGTGATCACTCAACCGTCGCAAACGCGGGCAGAGGAGCAGAAGATCCTTGTTCCTCCCCAGAAAACTGCCTTTATGAAAACGCATCATATCTAGAGAGGCTTGAAATAAGCTTCATCCCCAGCCCTTTCAACACACGCCTCAAAACCAGGCTCCTCAAAGCCTTTGCCTTCCTACTGCAACACGGCACGGGGTGTGGAGAGGCTGCTGGTGAGCACCGACATGCTGATACCTGTGTGTTCAAGATAAACATTAAAAACACTGAGATGAGATGGTTTCCCCCCCGACCTTGGTTACAAAAATCAGAAGTGTCAGCAATACAGCAAACACCAGGTGGGAAACCTCTCCTGATGGGCTTGATCACCAAGGCAGTTCCTTCTGACAGTGTTGCAAAGATGATACTCTATGAACCAACTATTCCAACAAGCTGGGAATAATAAACCCCCAATTTTCCTCTTAGCAACCCAGGGCCAATAATCACAAAACGAACCCATCCACCCTCTCCTTGCGACAGGCTCTGCAGCGAGCAGACAAGGTTAACCTTGCAATAAAAGAAAGAATTGTAACGAATTATTTCACTCCCCCCCGCTTCCCCACCCCGAGACTGGCGGCTGAGCTCATCAGCAAAGAAGCGAGTGTTAGTTTTATTCACGCCTCTAGAAAAGAGCAATTTGCGGAGCTATCAATCTAGCGGGGTTATGCAGTAGATTTTGCTGCATAAAGGGGAAAAAAAAAAAAACAAAACCCCTCACTGGGCTGG